AGCCAAGCACAGGAGAAGGCTGAGGCCTTGTCCACTGCACCTGAGCAGGGCAATCAGGGTGGGTATGGTGACAGGAGCCAGGCTCAGCAGAGGGTACAGATTGCAGACCTTCCCTGGTGACAAGGCAGGTCCAAGGTCATCCCAAGAAGTCAGTGAGTCAGCACTGGAACCAGGCCTGGAGCAGTCACCAGGGTCAGCCTCAGGCCACTGTGTGCAAGGCAAGCCCATAGTGACAAGGCCATTCTTGTGCAGCACCTCCAGGCATCCTTCTGCAGCTGACATCCTCACAGAGGCACTGTGCTCCCCAGAGCTGGGCTGAACAGAGATCACTCAGAGCCTGCAAGTTTGCCACATATGAATCAGGTGCCAGTGCTCTGAAGGAGGCTGCTCACCTGCCACAGCTAAAGCATGGCCCCAGACACAGAAAGAACATGGGAAAGCATCATCTTGTCTTGTAGCTTCATTCTGAAAATAGCTGAACTATTTTTACCTGGAACATTTTATAAATATGCCACCTCCAGCAGAGGAAATTTTAGCTCAAATATTTTGACAAAATTATAAATAACTGAAAAGCCAGTCTCTTAATGGATCTTATAAAATAATTAAGCAATAGAGAAGGCGGCTGGCCATGCTGCATGCAATGGGTAAGTTTCTGAGTTTCAATATCCAAAAACTTTCCATAATTGACATAGGTAGGCAATGCTGTGCCTGGTCTCAGTGTAGGCTGCATTTACATTTCAAACCATTTTCAGTACACATTAATTTTGTTTCATTTTTGAGAATTCTAGTCTAGTTTGATTGCTTTTGATCTGTGAAGGGGATTATGGCTATTTTTCATGTTTGCAAGAGAGAATGGGTGCTAGATAAGTTGTCTGCTTCTGCATTGTTTCTTTAGTTGGACTGAAGTTTCTATTCCATCATGTGGTGATAAGAGAACATGCATGCACTGTCCCAGTGAAATGAGTCACTAGTCCTATTTGCTTTATAGCTTCTACTTCGTGAGTATAAAACAAATAAATTTAAAAGATCTTGGGCATGATGGTGCCCAACTCACCTATTTAAAAATAGCTTCTGACACAATGCTGATTGCTACAACATGGAACAACTTGAAAGCATGTGTTTAAAACAGCAGAAACAAGGAAAACACACAATACAGAGGTATTCAAGACAGAAATGTTAAATGGGAACCTAATTTCACCAGAGCTCTTTCAACCTGTACAAATCCCTCCCTACGTCCTACTGCAATAATTGTTGAATAAGTATTCTTGGCAAGTATGCTACAGGGAAAAGATGCCATTCTTTGCACTTTGCGTCATTTGCAGATGTGCACATAAAACAAATGTCTTCTTATCAAGTAAGATTAGACAAGTGAAAGGTCAGAGCGATGGCAAATGAGAAGAGAATGCTTATTTTATATGGATTAGAGAGATTTACCTGCAAAAGTGCTAAGTATGTTTGGATTTCAAGTCTTTTGCCTTCCAGCACAGATATGCCAGTCACTTTAGGAAATGCTTTCTTGTTTGGACAATTTAGAAACACATTGTTATTAGCATTAATTGCAATCCTAAACATATTTTATACTTTCTGCAAATCCACTGACAATCTGCATTCTGTATTTCAATTTTCAAAAACAGTTTCAAAAATCCCAGCACAAGCCGCAATTGCTCTCAAAATTGATCTTGTTACTACCGGTGCTCTTTGCAGCACATCCTGGCTGTGCACCTCCCACCACTTGGTGTCTCCCATCCACAAAATATCTATGTTGCATTAGCAACTTGAAAGCTTGTGTGCTTTCCTCAACACCTCCTTCTCCGGCAGTTGAAGCAGATGTCCTCCAGACGCCCTCCAGAGGTCCCTCCAACCTAACTCATGTTATGATCTCCTGTTCTTGTGTTGTAGATGCTAATCAGTTATCACAAGCACAGGGAAGTGTTAGAAGATAAAAACCTATACCCCACCACTGAACCCTATGATAATCTGGTTGAAGGCTGCACAGTGCAGGGATAAGTGCTGCTATCTGGTGTTTCTTCAGCATCACTTGCTTGTACAGTTGTTCCTGGCTGCTCACCCTGCAGACACCTGACCGCAATCCAGCTGCAGCCGTGGCCCTCAATTCTGCAGCGGAGAGCAGTCACTCAAAGCTCTGTATTTAAATCCCTTATATTCTGCAGTGCTGACAGGACCTAAACAGAGGCCAGCAAACCACTGTGCTGATGCTGCAGAACATCCTGCTGATCGAAACCGACTCAGGCTTTCTTTGCATTTCCCCACGTTTCCTTATCATCCACTGCCTCTGCTCTCACACTGCAAGAGATCTTTGAGCACAGATCATTGTTTGTTTGGCTCACATAGCATTTTGCCCAGTGGGAGGGTGAGCTCTACAGACTTCTCGACAAGGTAAGAATAGAAAGAACAGTATAACCAGAAAACTTGCTATGCTGGAATTGGTATGCTAAAGCTAAACACGGCTCTCCATGCTTTAACCTATTTAACTTTGCTAGTGACAAGGGGACAGGGAGCTAGTTACACCCCCCTGCCTTCAAACGCCAGCCTTGAAGCACAGGCTGTCACTTTTCACGTCAGCACCTGAAATACAAGGGAAAAGAAAGCATTCTCCTCTGGGGGCCAAGGGTGGAGAGGAAGGTTCGAACTTTCCACCACAAAGTGAGGATGAAAGACTTTTTCTGACACTGGAGGTTAAAAAAAAAAAAAAAGAGAGAGAGAGAAAGAAAAGATAAAAATGCAAAGCAAAGAAGTAAAGGCATCCGTGAGCTACAAAGCTACAAAGCAGTCTGTCACTGCATCAGGGATGGACACAGATGACAGGACTAAGCCCTGGGAACAGTGTGACACCAGAACAGCCTGTCCCAGCATAAGGCCAACATCTGCAGGGTCTCAGCCTCCTCTTTGCCCTCTCAGGAGTCTGGGAGTAAAACATGCTGAACCCAACACAGCCAAGGCTCTTTGACAAGGGGGCAGGACTTGCAACAAAATTAATGATTGGTGATAACAAACTTAATCTTGGCCAACAGCGTCCTTTGTTTTCAGGGCTGCCACCCACCAGCTCAGGTTGCCCAGGGTCCCATCCAACACAGCCTTGAATACGTCCACGGATGGAGCACCCACAGCTTTTTCGGGCAGCCTGTGCCAGTGCTTCACCCTTCACCCTTTCCCTCTGAGGAAAGGCTTCGTGTTTGGGTGGGGTTTTTCCTTTTCTTCCAAATCCAACTCACACCCATACGGCCTCCTCCACGCGCGGCTCCGGGCAGCCCGAAGGAGCAGGGCCGGGCGGGCCCAGCTGCGCTGCGCTGCGCTGCGCGTTCTCTCCGCGGCCAACAGCGACCCCTGGCGGCGGCGGCGCACGGCGCTCAAGGCTGCGGAGCGAGGCTAGGTTCCCCGGGACCGGGCCGCAGGCAGCGGCGCTTGTCGTGTGTCGCGATACGGCGTTGTGTTCGCGTCCTCCTCCTCGTGAGCCCTCCTCGAAAACAAGCCAATAAAAATGGTGATAACAAGGAAGAAGCTTGTGAAAGGAAGGAAGGAAAGGTGTGAGCGCCTCTATCCCAGGAGTGGAAGGGGAGAAGAGGAGCTTCTTTTGTTGTTGGCACTCTGCATTAAAAGAGGAAGAACGCAAAAACAACGTCTTTGCAAAGTAATCTCGTCCATCACGTAGACCATGCACGTCTTCCATGGGGGCTTTACTAATCCCAGCCTCACCAGAGCTGAATTCGCACCTATAGGGAGTGCTGTTCTCAAGGGAAACGCACACCAGGGAGGTGTCCAAGCACTGTTTTGGGTCAGGAAAGCCACAGTTGGTTTTCTCCCATGGGCTTCTTAGGCAGAGATGTCATGGTTGTCCTTGGATACGCAGTGACAGATTGTTCTTTTCACCATGTCCCTCCTTTGTTCCCCCCGGCAGGAAGAACACTGCTTGCAGAAAGGAAAAACAACAAAGAATTAGCTATTTGCTTCTTTTTTTCACATGCAGCGTCCAAATCTATTGGCTCTTTTATTGCATATATCCAAGCTTCACTCTGCAAATAGAGTCTGATGTCCCCATGCTTTTCTGTAGTGTTTATTATGACTGCAGCCTTCACACATTTGAACTCAGTCAGTCCACCAGAGGCCCATAAGCTGATGCGGTATTATTACTGTTTTATAAGCAGGAAGCTTGGTAGCTAAAATGTATGTTCTGAAATACCTCAGATGCTCCTTTTCAGAGTGACATACAGCACATATACATCTGTACAGCTCCTACAGATTCCAGCCACAAAAACAGGACACAAGCCATGCAGCAAACCAAACTCCAAGGCCTCAAGTGGAGAGCTGCTACCAGAAGGGTCAGGAGAGTGGTGGCTCTCAGGAATATAGCTCTGCCAACCTGCTGGTGCTGCTGTCACCTGGGGCTGCATGGCAGTGGCAGGGGCTGCTGCAATGGTGGCAAGGAGGTCACAAACATCACGGTGGGAGGAGATGGATTTTTCAAATGTTTCTGTATCAAAGTGCAAAATCTGGAAAATGAGCAAGGGGAGTGAGGCGTCCTCATTGATGAGCATCCATTTAATATAATTAGCACATTTAATATAATTAGCAAAAAACCACAGTGGACAATTTACATGATTGCAATCCTCGAGTCTCTGGTTACAGCCTGCGCAGAGGGGATAGAGGTGTATAAAAAAAGTTTTGGAGAAGCATGCTGCAGTGTGTGGGGCAGTGGGCATACAGCTGTGTGCAGGGCTGCTGTACAGCTGTTGAGCGCAGGGAGCTGCCCTGGCAGCTGGTTAGGTGAAGTTTGTCAGCTAGCTGAAGTTGTAATTCATGCAAAAGCAACATTTTGAAAGTAGAAGCACAAGAGGAAAAAGGCATGACAGGTGGTTCTGTCTCATCTTGCATTTTGTACCTTCTAAGGTTGGGAAAAAGCAAGCCACTGGGTGAGACACCATGGCTTACCAGACAAGGAAGAATTAGACAGATATGAAGCAAAAGGAAAATTCTATGGCTACTTCATTTACAATTGGCTTTTATTGGCTTCAGCTGTTTCACAGTAACTGCCAGCAGCAATATATCCTCGATCTGATTAGTAGATCATTGCCACCAGGAGGCTGACAGACTCTTCAAAAGAAAATGGACAGACTCCTACCTTGAGTCACTTCTGAAGCTTGGGAGGGCCCCATCATATATACAATTCCCTGTTTTGTTCTCTTCAAACCCACTCTTGAGCTACTTGCTTCCCTCCATATTGTCCTTGCTCCTGTCATTGTCTATACATGCAGTCCGAAAGTACTGAGAAATTTTTTTTTTCCAAAAACCAAAGGCAATTTTTGCCAGGAACATAATTTGGCTTCCCAGGAACACAAACATATGGGGTGAAGCTGATGGTACTCTCCTTTTTCATGTCTCACTCTGTCCTTTGGTTGAGTTCTGCAGTTCTCCATAGGGGGTAGCCTTCAACCATTTAAAATTTAAAAAAAAAAAATAGTTTCCTTCTGGCTTGGATTTAGCATGGAGATGGTTTTAGTGGTCTTGAGAAACAACTTCCTCAGAGCTGACAGCTGGATCTTGCTGAGCTTTGTGCTGCTTTTTCTGCCTGCAGGGCCAAGCAGGGTGGTGGGTGGGGACCTCAGAATATTTGCTTGTGGCTGAGTGTTGTGCAGGGGACTTGTCCTGGTTAGTATTCTGGATTGGCAATTTTGTCTGTGAGCATGCAGACCCTGGGGAAAAAAAGAAAAAAAAAGTCTGAAACAGGCAGGCAAAAGCTCTGTGAGCTGCTCGAGAAGATGCTAGCGCTCCTCACTGGAGGAGTGTTTTGAGATGGTAACAGAAGTGACCCTAGCAAGAACATAGTGTCTTCATAGTGCTGTTTCCATGCTTTGATGCTAGGCAAAATGTCCAAAATGTTGTTTTGCTTTATTTCCTTGGATTCATGCCACAGCAATGGATGCTTTTGGAATTTGAAATAGGGCCTTTGCTTATGGCTGAACCTGCTTATGGCTGAACCTTGGAGCTTACAGCTTCACCATCCAGAAAAGCTCACAAGCAGCTATTGCTGCTCCCTGTCCTGAACCAAACCTGCATCAAACCCATCCCACGTTTGTTCTCCAGATAACACAAGGAGTGGTTCCAAGGCTACAGCTGGCCAAGGAAGGCTAGCACTTTTCTACACCCTGTTAGAATCATAGAATTATGAAACTAAACAATAACTCACATTGGAATTAATCCAAAAGAATTCTCAGGTCCAATCCAACTCCACACTGCACCACTCAAACCTCAAAGCTCATATCTCTGAGAGTGTTGTTCAAACAGTGTTGCTCCCATGGCTTCTCCATGAAAGGAGAAGGGAAAGGGGAAGGGGAGGAGAGAAGCAGAAGGGCAGAAAAGGAGATAGGAGGGGGGAGGGGAGGGGAAGGAGGGGAGGGGAAGGAGGGGAAGGAGGGGAGGGGAAGGAGGGGAGGGGAAGGAGGGGAGGGGAAGGAGGGGAGGGGAAGGGAGGTTAGCTCAGGAAAAGTGGGAGACTACAGAAAATGAGATTTCACTAGGGTCTACATGGAACTACTGCAGGACAAACTGGAAACATTGCTAGTAAAGTGCAGTGCCCTTGCTCTGGCTGGCTGGTGGAGTTTATTTGACTGTTGAAGGGAGGATTAGTTTAAAGAAGACGTGAAGACTGATTTCAACATCTGACATTGTTCCTATGTGCAGCTTCTGGGGTTTTCCTAATGCCATCTTTGATTCTACTTCATCTGGGTGACTGCATCTGCCAGCCAACCAGGTGTTATAGGGAGAGAGCATGCCAGGGAATGGCACACCTGGTAGTGCTCAGCCTCCCTCAGCTTCTCCCACTTTGTCCTCCATGGATTGCAGCATTACAGGAGGGTAGGCAAGGGAGAAGAACCAGAGCCTGTATCAGGTTTCAGGTATACCTCCTCCAGTTCTGGCACCCCAGGCACTGCCTCCCTAGCAGTTCTGGTGAACCTTCAAGGCCAGATTGGATGGGGCCCTGGGCAGCCTGGTCTGGCATTAGGTGGGATGGTTGGTGGCCCTGCGTGTGGCAGGGGGGTTGGAGATTCATGATCCTTGAGGTCCCTTCCAACCCAGGCAATTCTGTGATTCTACAGTCTGGACAGCAGGTGAGCTGGTATACGGAACTGTCACGGGAAGTCATGCCACAGCCAGCTTGCAGGTGTGTAAGGATTGCAGCAATGGGCTCGTTGGAATCTGTAATACACAGTGACACGGATATTTTGTTTGTTAAATTTATCACAGATTACTACAAATTACTACTAATGAAACAGGCAGGTAGTACAAGTTACAAAAAATTACCAACAGTAAAGCAACTATACTTACATTCATGTCTGTATATATCTATATAGTCTTTATACTTTCCTATGAGCCTGCAGTCAGACAGGTGTTGTTGATGAGGGTCTGCACCGTACAGGAGATCTTGAGTGCAAAAGTCCTTGCAGGGGAAGCTCTGAGTGAGGATCCATTTTGTGTAGAAAGCAAGTTTTTCTGTGTGTGTGAGGGACATAAGGGGGCACAGGACAACGCCACCTGGAGCAGCTAGTAGATGCTGCCGGTTTCTGTTTTTACCTGGAATAGCCAATAGATGATGCTGTTTTTCATTTTCTCAAACAACTTTTACTTTCCCAGACTGTTTTTCTATTTTTCAAGATAAATTCTTTTTCTATTTTTCATGTATGTTTCCTACTTTCTCAGGCTGTTTTTCATCTTTCCAGACTATTTCTCCACGTTTTCAGATAAGTTTGTTGTCACTTTTTTTTGTTTTGTTTCGTGGATTAGTTTTGGTAGGGCTTTTTTGTTTGGCTGTGGTAATTTTGTTTTTTGTTTTTTTTTTAACTTATCTAGGGTATGTCAGGATGTGTGTCAGTACTGGCTGCACTTCAAGAATGCCCACTGTGCTTCCCAAGGGTGCTCTTGACTCCTAGACTAGTGGTTTCCATCTTGACAGACATTCTCTTCTGTCTGTTTTCCCATTATACCCACGTCTCTTTTATGGCTGCTCTCATCAAGTGGGCAGAGCATGAAAGAATTAGGAAGAGATGCAGCGCAGACCCCAGGAGCACCTTCCCCTTTTTTACACACAAGGCTCTCTTTTTGATCTCTCTTCCCCATCCTCCCCTCTGCATCACCACTCTACTCCCCCCAAAAAAGGGAGCTGTAGGATCTGGTAACCAAAGGCTTTAAAAGAGACGATTCTTGATCTATTCGGTTCAGTTTCTCTGTGACATCACCAAGGAGCATAGGAAGGAAGTGGATGAGAACACAGACGCAGAAAGAGATGATCTCTTGCCCATGAGATGGATCCTTAAAGATCATCTGGTTCCAGCCCTCGTCCTAAGCCCTATGCCATCACGGAGCTCCTTGACCTCTTCCTTCTTCATGCTTCACATCCCAGACTTGCTGTCCCCTCATACTGCCTGCTGCAGCTTCCATTAAATTTAGTGAATTCTGACACCAATGCATCAGATGCCCGCTCACAGAGTGTAATCAGGGTGACAGCCCGTGAAGCAGTGTGGTTGGGTGCCTGACACATTGTACCCAGTGACAGCATGGAGCGGCTGAACTGTGGCTGCTGCCCCATGGAGGCAGCACCCCTGCTTCCCAGGAGCAGAAGAGAGCAAAGAGCAGTCCTGGCAGGATATGCAGTCAGGGCCCTGGGGCTGGGCCTCTTCCCTCGCTCAGCCCTGCTGCATTTCTCATGCTGCAGGATGCTGGGCTCTGCGTGGAACAGAAGCACAGCACGTGCACCTGCACGCATGAACATAGAGAGGAGCTGCTGCTGCTGCTGCTGCTGCAGGTCAGCAGTGGGCAGCCAGGGGACAGGAATGCCTGAACAGCAGCAGGCTTTGGCTAAGCAATTGTGTGTTCAGACCACAGATCTAAGCAATTAATCCAGGCGTGGAACAGAGCAAGTTCCTCCTCTGCATTGGGTGCTCACGGTAATTCACTAATAGATGTAACATTGATTAGCTGCATCATAGGCAATGGTTCAAACTATACTGTGCAAACCCAACCTGTGTTCACTCCATTTGACATAACCCCCTTTGACAAAGACTTCTAGGCAGCCCCCCGCTCGCTGCATCCACCGCAACACCACACTGCCCTGCAGACACCTCCTGCTAATGTGGATCTGCCGCGAATGGCTGTGCAAAACACAGAGCTGGGGGGGGACAGCTACCAGACAAAGGGACCACGCCTCGCAGGGCCTTGCAATATGGACACTGAGGGACCCAGGGCTGGTGCTGTGCTCCTGGCAGGGCTCAGCCCACCTGGATGAAGCACAGATGAGGCCACTGCAGAATGGGGCGGTGGTAGTGGCCTTCTGGTAGGGAAACCAAAGAATCACAAATTGGTTGGGTTGGAAAGGATTTCAAAGCACATACAGTTCCAACCCCCTGCCATGGACAGGGCTGTCACCGACCACATCAGGCTGCCCAGAGCCCCACGCAGCCTGGCCTTGAGCATCTCCAGGGATGGCACCTCCATAGCTTCCTTGTTCCAGTGTCTCACCACACTCTGAGTGAAGAGCTTCCCATGAACACCTAACTGAAATCTCCTTTCTTTTAGTCTAAAGCCATTCCCCCTTGTCCTGTCACTGCTAGGCCATGTAAGGTCAGTCTCCCTCCTGTTTATAAGCCCCTCCAAGTTCTGAAGGCCACAGTGAGGCTCCGGAAGCCCTCACCTCTCTAGGCTGAACAATCTCAGCTCCCTCAGCCTTCCTGAAGAACGGGCAGCGAGCACAGCCCGGACAGCCACTGAGGAGCTCATCGGCATGACCGTGAGCTGATAACAAGCACCCAACACAACAGAAGCACAGCAATGAGCCTGGAAGCCAACCCCAAAGATGGTGATAGTCATATTCTGAAAAAAAAACTCATCCGTGTGAGCAGAGGGTAGCTCAGAAGTTATCTCTGGCAGCAGGCGCACGACAGCACGGACACGAGCAGGCAGACCGCTGCCAGCACAGCTCCCACGAGCCCAGCACAGAGCCAAAATGGTGGCAGGGCAGTGGGATGGGGCTCAGCGCAGGCTCCAACCGGGCCGGGTGCAAGGGAACAGCACTGCTCTGGCACTGTGCTTTTCTGTAGCCGGGCGGAGGGGGCCACGGGCTGGGTGGGTTTGTGGGGAGGGCCCCGCACTGAGGGCCTGGCAAGCAGGCTCTGTGGTAGCCAGAGGCGGCCAGGGGGGCTGTGGCAGCCCGGCAAGGCCGGGGCTGAGCTGGCTCGGGAGGCAGCGACAGGGTAAGGGAACTAGGCCGGGCCGGGCCGAGCCGAGCCGTGCGAGGTCACGCTCCTACCGCGGCTATTATGGGATGGCGAGGCCCGGGGGAAAGGGGGGGGAAGTGGGGGAGGGGAGGGCAGGCAGTGGGTATTATGGGATGGTGAGGCCTTCTGCGGCGGGGGAGGGAAGGGAGAGCTGCGACTATTATGGGATGGCGAGGCCTTCCGCCACCGGAGGGGGGCAGGTGGGTGGCAGGAGTATTATGGGATGGCAAGCCCTTCTGCGGCGGGGGGGGGGGGGGGGGGGGGGGGGGGGGGGGGGGGGGGGGGGGGGGGGGGGGGGGGGGGGGGGGGGAGGATGCGGCTATTATGGGATGGCAAGGCCCTTTGCAGCCAGAGCGAGCGGAGTATTATGGGGTGGCACAATTCCCAGCGCGTGTGCCCGGGCGGCTATTATGGGATGGCGCTGTACCTACTGCCTCCCTGCGAAATATTATGGGATGCAGCGGGCAGGGGGAGGGGAGTGCTATTATGGGATGCCGGCGCAGCACGGGGCGGGGAGGGGGCCGCAGCTCCGGCCGCCGTGCCTGAGGGCCCGCGGGGCGCCCCCCGTTCCCGCCGGCCCCCGTCCCGTCCCACCGCGACGCCCCTCGCCCCCCGCCCGGCCCCCCGGCAGTTCGCGGCCCATCGCTCCGGCGGGGTATTATGGGATGGCCGCTCCCCCCCGTGCGGGGGTGCGGGCGTGGGGGGGGGGCGGTTGCCATGGAGCATTTCCCGTAGGTGGCTATTATGGGATGGACTCGCCTTTGTGGACTATTATGGGATGCGTCCGTTGCCGCAGGGTGGGGCTGCCCGGGAGGGCTGCGGGGGGCGCGGGGCGCTGTCCGGCGAGGACGGACCCCGGCCGGGAACGTGGGCACCGCCTCGGGGCAGCCCTCGGGCACCCCGCCTCCAGGGGCGCCTTGTGCCTCCTGCAGCTGGGGAGGGTGAGAAGGAGGGGGCAGCCCTTCACGACGGCGGGACGTCGCGCGAAATGAGATCGGTGCTTAAGCGCCGAGCCCAGTACGTCTGTCTCGAAGCGGAGAACTCGCAGTCCGCGTGTCGCAAAGCTAGCGGCCGGCGACTTTGCAAGCGAGCCGTGCTTGCGCGTTCTGCGGGGCAGGACCCTCCCTGAGCAGCCTTGGGCGCTCGTCCGCGGTCGTGGCTGTCGCTGCCTGCCACGCTGCGGGAGCGGTGCTCTCCCGGCACTCCGTGGCTGCGCAGAGCTCTGGCTGCCTTTGAGCTGAACGTGGCTCGCAGCATCACTCGGAGTCGCAGCGGCTCGGTGTCGATGAGAATCGCAGGGAAATGTAATGCCTCTCCCCGCCATCGGGGTTTGAGTCACTCACGTCCTTCCCTCAAACCGGCCCGAGCTCTGCTTGCTGGCTGTGGGGCTCGCACTGAGTCCTGTGGGTCTGCATCCTCCAGGCTCACCTGCACCGCTCCCAGCTGCACGGAGCTGGGCTTTGACAGCACGTGTGAACTTCCATACGGAGCACGGAAACGGGTATCTCAGAACTGCAGTCTAGGCAGCTCTGAGCAGCAGGCCAGTGCTGCTGTCCTGCTGAGACTGTCCTTGTGTGTTCTCCCAGTGGGTCCTACTCTTTGCTTCAGGAAGAGCTGAGTGGGGCCTCCACGTAAGGCGTTTTAGGGAAATGGGCACGTAAGACTGATCAGGCTGATAAGCGGCTTTGGGTCTTGCTTCCAGCTTTCATTATTCACTGCATACACAATTATAAGTTAAAAGATGAGTAGTGTTAGCAAAGTCATATTTTTACAATTGTGAAACATTTATTTTTTCCATCTTACTTAGTGCTTCTAACTTCAGAAAATAAAGAGTGAAAATAAACACGGAAAATTCAAATCTGAATATCAACAGAGTAACTGAAAAGAGAGTTGTGATGGAAAATACTGAGCAGCCCTCGCTATAGGTGTCAGCACCAAGTATATCTGCAGTGTTCGTTAGAGTGAGCAGACAAGCACGGTGTGCAGAGATAGAGATCAGCGCTTTGGATTTACAGGGTGCTGAGCAACATCCCCTCCTCTCTCCCTCTCCCCTCCGCCTCACTTCTCGCCATGAGCACTGCTCCATGCAGCATGTGTACTCCCCTGGCACGGTGTGCTCCTGGCTGCAGGGCCATGCCACACACCCTGCCCCCTCCTCCTTCTGGCAGCGGTACTCAGGAGCAGTGCAGAGTGACGTCTGAACGGCTGCTCTCCCAGCAGCAGAATACACGCAGAGTCATGCTGGTGTGCAAGCAGTCCTCAGTGAGGTGGCCATTACTGAGACAGGGTCCTCCAGTGACACTGGTGTGTTCTCAAAGAAGAAACACAAGTGGCCTATTCGATCTATCTTCTGTTGATGCATGTTACCAAATTTTCTGTGTGCAAGTGTGTCTCTCGTTCCAACAGCATATGCTTCTGCAGGAGCAGCCCCTTGGGTATGGCAGGGGGAGTGGTTGCTGCTTCTCCACAAGAAGAGGAGACAATGTCTTTTACTTCCATTTCTGACACCAAAGCTACTTCTATTGTGTTCAACAAATAAGTTCATGCTTCTTTTTTTAAAACAAACAAACAAACAAAATGGGGGATGGAGGGGGGGAACAAAGGGGAAAGCAGCAATGAAAATAGATAATTTCAATTGCATTAGCTTGCCATGGAGACTGCAGAAATCTGGAAAAGAGAAGAGCTCTGCTGTGTTGGAGAAGGCTTGAGGAACTCAGGACAATTCCTTTGGCCAATGTTGAGGGCACAAGGTTGTATGAAGAGACAGACTTTGGGGTGATAACTGAATACTGAGTGAAAGCTTGAGCTGGTTTCTTATCAATTTCAAAGTAAAAGTCGAACCTGAGACTTTGACAGCCTCCCCTCTCAGGATAATCTGTGGCAAAATTCTCTGATCACCCAAGAAAAACAAAGGTAAGGCTTCTTGAAAGCCCTGAGATGCTCAGGGTTGTGGGCAGAGACTGCAAGGCCTTGGCTCAGAGTTACAGCATCAGCAGTCTGACAGGGAGAACCTGCAGGGCTGCAGAACAGAGCTCTCACTGTCAGTGAGTTCACACTGATGCAGACCTGTGTAGAACAGGTAAGGAAGGAAGGGAAATTCACCTGCAGCAATTCAGGAACAGCATCACATTTATGGAAACATCAGATGATGCTGGTTTTACACAGATCCTGATAGTTAATATTGTTGGTTGGTTGTATTTAAGCTGACTAGGAAAGTGAATGTTACAGGTTAGAGCAACTCTCAGAGGACCAGGACAAGTAGATTAATTTCCCAGGACCCACTGAAGCAGTGATGAGTTGGCCTGGCAGCATTCAGCGCTTGAAACAACATTTGTGCTTTGTTTACTGGGCACGAGAGACACTAACAGCAAACAGCCGGCAGCCAACTGACCTCCACAAGTGCACTGTTGCACCACTAGCAAGCAGTTGTTGTGGTGCCTTATCTGTGCCTTGCACAGGAGAGCAGGCCTGGGGTGCCCTCTCCTCTCTACTTGCCTCAGTGAGTGGCTCTGAAGGGCTGCTGGTGCTCACAGCAGTGAGACACCCTGCAAGGACCATAGTGCAACGTGCTTAGCTCTGTTACCTGGAGGGAGAGGTCTGTGCAGTCCAGCAAGACTGTGGGCTAATAAAGGCTGGTCCTGGGGGCTGAGCGAGAGGGTGCCCTTGGGAGCAGGGCTGGGCTGGAGTGTCCTTTGGTGCCTTTCGGTTCCTTGGCCTGGTGAAGGGGCATGCAGGAGTGTTGAGCATAGACAGGACCAGCAGCAAGGTGAGTTCCAATTGTAGGAATCCTACGATAACTATTTCTTATGAAGTACTACAAGCTCCCTGGGGTGGGGCCAGCTGGGTGCAGCCTGCAGCTAACCTGTGGGGCTGCGTGTTCAGGTGACCGATTTTTTAAATGTTCAATTTAGATGGCCCTCACAGGCACTAAAATCGCCTCAGTGGTAATGACTCATCCCCTGCATGGGATTCTTAGAATGAAAATCAAGATTTCTGCTGACTGAGAACTTGGGACTATGAAGAGAAACGAGCAGATGTGGTGGGGAGCTGGGTCTGAGAGCAGCAGAGACTCTGGCACAGGGGTTGGTGGGAAGATGCATGCCTGAAGCGGGGGAGCACACGATGACAGCAGCCCTCAGAGCCACAGCTACACTAGCA